AAACCATAAGAACAGAGGAGCAGGGGAGCAAGTAGCCGAAGAAAAGAACCATGTCTCTATCACAGGAAATGTTAAAAGCAGATTGAACAGGTATGTCAAATATTCATCGCAGTGCACCGAAAGTTAAGACAGGGGCTTTCAAAAACCTTCCTTGCTCTACTTTTCTATGATTTGCCATTCTGCCACTTGGAACAGACTTCCCTGCTTGACCAAAGATGCCTGACCTCAACATCACATACCTTCATCAGCTCCAGGTGAGCTACATCTGGATAATTTCCTGGGATTTGACACTTCTGTTGTAAAGAAACCCTAGCTAGCAGAGTGCTGTGACAAGCCTCCACAGCACTTTCATATACAACTCGTTTTCTCAATGCCTTTAAATTCCAAATATGTTGATATTCATTACCAAGATGTTTGATAGTCAGCACATATAAATGCTAAAAGGTCACTTCAAGTTCTGGACAAAAAACTTGAGGCAACAGCACATGTTCCCAGTCAGCACAGTTCATCTATCTGTATACATGGCAAGCAACACCAAAACAATTATTTAGGTGCTAGGACAAGAGAAGCACAACAATGACAACTTAATTGCCCACAGTATCTGAGCCGGTTCCTACTGAAGGGATAGCAAAACACTGCTTTCTAAAGCAGCAGTCCCAAACTGTAAGCATCTTCCATTTCACAAAGAACACTGCCACAACAGATTGCAAACAGCAGACAGCACTACACATTTACTTCACGATTAATCTCACTGAACTTCCCAAGCGTTCTCAAGTAATAGGTAATGCTTTTCTAGCATACCAACAGCTCCAATGAATGCACACAAAAGACCTTTCTTTCAAGTACCAGGAGTTCAGGAGAAGCTCTCTTAATTAACAGCAAGTTTAACGCTGCCCTAGAACAGAAACACGAGCACTGCTTACCAACAGCAGCATTATGTGTGACCAGACATCTGAAAATTAATTCCTGGACAGACTCAGAACAAATGAACCACCTCTTCAAATGCTAAGGCAAATTACTATCTGAGACCTACGTCTAGTGCTATCTAGTGCTAAGTCAGTACACGCTATCAGAGAGTCAAGACTACAAAGTCATCAGCCATCATCTGCATTACATTAGCCTATCACACCTTAAAGGCAACAGCTGCAATCTTTTCTGTGCATTTGCTTTAAATGACCTCCAAAATTTCTTTCCTGCTACACAGACTCCAGCTTGGAATGAAAGGAAATAGCAAATTTCAAATAAGTTAAATTTTTACCCTGCTTCTTCAGTTACTCCTTCAGTTTTACGTTCTTTGAAGAACGTCTACCTTGGTAGTAGTATCTGCAAAGGGGGAATCTAAATTCCCTCTGCTGCACTCTCCATGAAATCAGCCTTCTCTCAGTAGGAAAAAAAAAAAAAAACGAAAGCACATCCATGTTTTTTGGGGGTACGGTGTTATTGGAGGCAACTGCTGGCATACAAGGGCTATGGATTCATTTGAAGTGCTGGATGTCTGCCAGCAAGTCATTTGGCTACAAGCAACACAAGAACCTTCCTTTCCTTTCTCACTCCCCCATAGGACGCAAGCTTGAAACTCTGCTTTTAATGTTGAGCAAGCCAAGACCTCAAATTCTTTCCTATGCCGTTGATAAGATCTGGCTGCATCTACTTCATCGCTCTTATGCAATCAATCGCAAGCTGGCTGGTAATTGGATAATGCCTTCGTCTTATGGGGGTTAATGATCTGTGTGTGATAGGGATGGAAGCACATTAACGGAAGTTGCACAGTTACACCCTTTGTAAAATGGTTTGATAATAGGCCAAATACTTAATAGCAACAAATAAACTAACCCCCAAACCAAATGAGCAGATCTATTTACTTAAGCCTACTTTACATACCAAGTAGGGAGAGATAAGCGTTAGAGCAGCTATTCCTAAAATGCATTGATTGAAGAATGTGGGAAAATCTTTCTTTACTAGTTTTTGTCAAAAACCAGTGAATCATGCTTTCAATAAAAAAAATAAACTCCTCCGTAATCCCAGTTTAGGTAGAACAACTGTAAGGTAGCTAAATCCTGAGGAAGCTAACCAGAGACTGTCTGAATAAAGCACCCTGGCAAATCAGCAATTCCCATGCAGGAGGACCACAGATCATGTCCTGAGGGACAGCTAAAGTTTGCCCAGAAGAATTTCATCTGGCATTTGGCACCTCTGTTCCTTCTCTTCACCTTCTCTCTGAAGGTAGCAGGCAGGTGAGTTGCCTCTCCCAAGACAGACTGGAAAGCCCAGAGAGCAGCAGCAGCAGATTACAGAAGACAAAGACTGCTTACTGCCTCCATCACTGCCCTGGAAACACTGCAACAGCTGCATGAGCACCATAACTAAAGCTGTACTTAGTCTGTCAGTATGAGACCGGTCTGATTGCAACAGGAGCAGACACCATAGGATGTCCGCATAGGCAGGGACAACGGCTTATGAAGTCTGTAGTGGGATGCAAAGTGCCAGGTGTGCTTGGGAGGAAATACTACAGTCTGGCTAGAACGGCAAAAGCTGTGTGGCACAGAGTTGAGAAAGCTCTAGCTGGAAGCAGAGACAAAGATTTCAGGGAGGGAATGAAAATGAGAATTAAGGGAATGCCTTATGATGCAATGAGTTGGGAGGGGACGAGAGAGAAGGAATAAATTGCATCAACAGTTACCATCACAGAAATCTGTACAACCAGGGTACCTGGACAACCAGCGTACCAAGGATGGGAGCAAACAAGAAGCAGCCTCTGAAGATGGGCATTCCCAAACTCCAGCATAAAGACAGAAGCATCTGGTGTGAACTGTTTGAGAACCATGAACGCAAGTGAACAGGAAACTCCTCAGAGACAGAGCACCACAACAGAATGAACACACTTACTGTCACAAGTCACCAAAAGGGGAGGCAGAGGGCAGGTGGCTCTTAGAGCATTATATGGAAAGAGGAAAATAGGAATCTTGCTCTTTTACACAGTGTATTGAATTTATGTGGCAAGTTTGGTAGCAGCAGGGCTGAAAGAGAAGCCTCAGTGAGGAGTCCACAAGTTGCCCCACGTTAGCTAAAAGCCAGTTCCAGCAGACTCTACAAGGGATAAAAGGGAGCTGATGCTGGGCAGAGCTATACCAATGAGCAACACTGGTTTGACTTCTATGAGAACACAGGCAAGAAAGGAAACAAATGGCTGCACAACAGCAGCTGGGAAAGGAGATTGAGAAAAGATGTAAGAAATGAGATTGCAGGCACCGTGGTCAGTGAAGAAAGTGAGGATGAAGTGGAACACAAGTTCCTCAGCAGTTCCCCTGCATGGTGTACCATGGCAGAGCAGTTCTTTGTCCTCATCTCAACCCTTGAGCCCTTTTTCATCACATTGTCTCCCCTCTTCCCTTGCCTGGGAGAGAGAAGGCAGTTATGGTGGAGTTTAGGGTGAAACCGACTCACAGAAAGCTTTCTTCCCGTTGCACATCTTGCATGGTGGTCTGTGACACTGTAAATGCTTCCTTTCTTGCACTGCTCACTACATAGGTCACATGTTTCGAGGGTTGAACCCAGCACCATCCCAAAGGCCCAAAGCACACAGTTCTAAAGAAGGGGAACATGGAGGGACACCTCCTCCCCAGAGTTCTCTCTGGGGCAGGGCCACATACTGTTTGCACAATCTAGCCCTAGGTTTTTTCATCATTCAAAGCATATCTCATGTTGTGTAACAAGTGTTGTATCATGCTCTTCTTACAAATGACATGAGGAAAATAATGTGAACAAACACAGCTGAATTGCTACTGAAATGTTTCACTACAAGCGTAACTGATGACAAAGCATTCAGCAGACAAAAAAAACCTTAAACTATGATTAAATCAGAAGCAGTATATGTTGATATTACTAGTTTATTTCCAATTAGCAGACACATCATTATTTTTCATTCCGTGTGAGAATTCTGGTCTGACCCACAGTTGAGTAATCCCATGTGGGAGAACTGAGCTGTTTCTTGTTCCTGACCTGGCATGAGAAAGAGGTAGCGCAATTAAGCTCTGAAAAAAGGACATCTTGCTTCAACAGGAAGTGATGAGCTTTGGACATGTACCTATCTGTCCAAATCTGGAAAATAACTTCCCAGGACTTGGTCTTGAGAATGGTGAAGACAGAGGAAGGGAAGAGAAAAGGACAAAGACAGAATCTGTTTGTGGTCCTCCAAAGCAGTATCAGAGAAGGAAGATGTCATGAACTGCAAGGGGACACAGAATTTGACCAGAGGCTGTTTGTTTTTTTCCCTGCTTAATTCATATTTGAATTAATAAATTCCAGTCAAGTAAAAACAAAACAAAAAAAAGCTCGGAAGCACTGCTACTTGTTTCTTTCTTCTAGACAAGTCAAACTGAAAGTATTTCGTTCTACATTGCTTTAAGAACATAGACATGGATCTTTCAGAGCCCTTCCTTTTGGCAATTACCATTCTTTTCCTCTTGACATGATAATTGTCAACATACCAACAAAAAAAATCAGCCATGAATAACATGCATATGTTACCAAAACTACCATTTAATTTGCCAAGGCTGCCCTTAATTCCAACAGCAAGAGAAAGATACCATTGTTTCATGAATGCAGCCTCCAGCTGATTTAAAGAAACCCTCCTGTCAAAAGTTAGATGACTCACGGTTTTTGCACTGTACAGAGAATGTTTTAATTTACATAATTATACCTGTATAAACTATGCACTAACTGGTTCCCAGTCTTGAGTTCACTCTGAAGTCTCCCTAAGGGAAAGGTGTCACATGTGATGAGAAACAGTTTATGAGTCTGCAAATGTGAAGGGCAAGAACAAAGAGCCAGATCACTTGCCTTTCTTACAAGAAATCCTACATACTGCAACACCCTCAGCAAGCATGAGCACCAAATATTTGGTAAAGCAGGTGACATAGCTAGTAGTGCCATCAACAGACACTAAGCTTTTCTTTTTACGTTGTAAACATTGTGATGAGAGTACTAACAACTAATATTACCTGCAGCTACTATGACAATGTCAGCAAGTTGAGTATGGATCTTGAGCTGCTCTTTCGGCGTGTATCGGTGAGTAATGGTCACTGTAGCATCACCTGAAAGGCAAAAGACGGGCAATTAATTGATACATACAGAAGGCCTGTAAAGCATTTACTTTCAGGTACATGTGAATCATTGTGGTCCACCAGAAACAGTAAAGATGACTGTCAAATTTGTCTTGGGATGCATCACTTACTTCAGCACAGTCAGAACGCTTGTAACACTTGCCTTTTACACGCATGAAAAAGTGCTTATCCTTAAAAACTCACGCAGGATTAATTGATTCATATACCGTGGACTGACTCCATCAGTTTCATTACACTTAGTAGAATTACACAGAGAAACCCAGCATGGAATTTGTCGCCTACATTATTAAGCACAACCTGTGGAATGCACCGTAAGGCTGTTGCTTGTCACAAACTAAAGCTTCAAATATAATATCAGCGTGTTCAGACCTCTGTCCTCAACCACATTTGTCATTCATCTGTCCCGAAACTCCCTGGACGCTCCCTTTGACATCCTGTTGTATGGTCAGTGCTTAGCCTTTGGCCTCTGTTTCTGACGAATTTTGACTGCTCAAGGAACAAACAGTAATTCACGTTCAGTGAAGTAGCATCATTTCTTACTGATGTGCTCCCTCTCAAGAATGAGCACGGCTGATCATCTGACCAAAGCCACACGATGACAACCAAGGCTCTTCTCTTCGCAGGGCCTAATTGCGTAGGGAACAAGCTTAGCAGCCATGACAACAGTGACACTCTGGGCCAAAGGTCTTCGCTTAGACACTGTCTAAACAATTGCATGCAGGGGGCAGACAGCAAAATCCCCCTGTTAACTGGAACACTAACAGATTTCAGTGAGGAGGGATGTTCTTCAACATACATGCAGAACACAATCAACAGCAGCGTCAATATTTATATGATCTGTAGGATTCCAGTTGGATGGATCTGAGCATGTTTATCCCTGTAACCACTTCAGGAATAAATACATCAAACGCATACATTTTTCCACACACACACAAAGCATTTAAAGTAATTGTTTTGCGTAGCTCAAGTGCAAGAACAGGAATGGAAGAGACTGACTAAAAGGCGCTCAGATTTTGCAGATGCCCTACCAGCTTTTCTATCTCCTGATAAAGGAAAAACTGCTGAACACTTACTTGATACCAGAGTAGGAAGTGTTTGAAGTTATCACAAGCAGAAGACCACATCCTTTTAGGCAAACTCAAAAGCTCTGGGGCCTGCTCCTGCATGTATCCACATTGCTTGGCAAGAAGCTACAAATAAACCCTGCTGTTAGAGCATAAAAAACCTTGTGCAAATGAAGGGAGATGCTTTGGAGAGACCACTGCACACAAAACGAAGTGACATGGCAATAGGGACTGAGGTCTCATACTGAGTGCAACACCAAGGGTAGCAGTCCCTCTAAGACCGCCCATGAAAACAGCAAAAATAGCAGCTATTAAATGAAACTCCTGCATATTCTGATGCCATGCTTCTCCCTCACAACTATTTGTACTGCATAGTTGTCTGGTGTTATATCCCCTCATTTCCACCTTCAATTCATCATGGGCTCCAAAGTCACATTATTAGCCATTAAACTTAAGATTTTTGCCATCTCTGTCATTACAACCACAGCGGCTGCCTCTGGAATGCATTTGACTGTCTAATCTGGACCTCTTATCTCATTACTTGTCTTCCTCAAGCATCTCATCTTCAACCTGACTGCACTCTGACTTCTCGGCTCTTTTCTCACACCTTTCATCCCCCTCCTCCTTCAGTTATCACCTGTCCTCCTTCAGTCTCTACACCTCATACATACCATGTCCTCAAGGAGAGCAAATGAAGGTATTTTCAGTTAATGACAAAGAAGTACAGATGTACAGAAGCAATTTCTTGAAATGAGAATTGCCAGCAGACATCTTTCACCAGTGTTCTTTTATTTCCTATGTATGCAAGTCCATCAAAAGCCTAGACAGACAATCGTCTTAAAAACATCTCTGCACTGCTAGCCTTTCTTGCGATAGAAACATCCCAAACAGTACATAAAGCCTGCATGTCTAGATTCCTTCTATTTTCCCTCTCTCCAAAGTCACTTATTGATCCAAAGGGTAACTAATAATAGTAAAAAAGAAAAAAAAAAAAAGAGGAACATGACAAAAGAATTATTCACCGTTACTTTTGATTTTGCTAATCTAAAGCATCATCTCTCCAATTGTTGATCTGTTTTTATGGAGGTCTCACACATTCTTGAGTCACGTACAGACTGTAGAGACCGCTATAGTTTTCCTCCTTTGGAGGCCTCATTCTAAAACAAATTAAAAACAAAATGCTGCCTGCTGTAGGAGAGTCACGTCTGTTCTTTGGTGAGACACACTTCCCTTCTCTAGGAAATGTTCTATGAAGGGTGATCCTTCACACATGGAAATCAACCTTAACACTGGATTCTGGAAATAAAAGTTTGAATAGAACAGTAATATTCTGTTATCTAATGTTCAGATAAGGATAAGAAAGATATTCTATCTGGAACTACAATCATTACTTCCAAAGCTACATATATAGTAAGGTTATTTTTACTTCTTATACTATATTCAGCAAGCAGGATGAGAGAAAACAATGCATTAGTTATTAATATTCACAGCTTTTAAGAATTAAAATAATTTCCTGTCAATAATTTTGAAATGCATGTCTGTAGTCAGCTCCTGAAACCAAGCAATTACTCTCAACACTATAAATAAATAAGTAAATAGCCAACCCCACCTTCCAGAGGGGTAAGCCCAGAAGCTTACAGACACCTCCAAAAGAGTAGATTTTCCGTTTGAGATCAGGCCAAAACAGACAATAGCTGCTTTTACACTGTTACTTGTACTGTAAGAAGTCAGAGGAAGATATTTAGGAAATAAGGTTTAGCATGATACTGCAAAGCTAATTCCCTAGCTTATAACGTAAAGTCTCTTGACCTGTCTATGAAGAACACAAATTGCTCTGTAAGTTTACAGATAGTTTTCCTACGTGATCAGTTATCGCCACCTGCAGGACGTTACAGTTTCTACATGTCACAGATGAAGACAGACCCCAGCTTTCCAGTTCTGCTTCTGAAGAATCGAAAACCTACTAACAAAACAAACAAACAAACACAAACAAAAATACACCAAAACAAACCTAAAAACCTATCCATACACCTTGCATCACTTTTCAACCACACTTATTTCACGAAGTCAGTACCAGTTGCTGTTAAAACCCTAATCCTGACTGATAAACCGAACGTATTTTATCAGCACTGGCAATGTCTCATCTGGGCTCTAACCTCATGAACAGAAAGTCAAAAAAAAAAAAAAAAGCTTCCACTTAATTTGTCTTAACGAGCTTAAACCACTCTATATGTGCACATAGAGGAAAGCCTGCCACTGCTCGGTAATAAATAAAAAAGTGTGCAATTTTACAAGTCATTTTCAAGTTCAAAACATTTCATCCAGCAGCTGCACACTTGCTAAAGCTACCTCGTTTTGTATCTCTAACACATATATCTTGCCCTGCTACCAGCTGCTAAAACACAGGTGGAAAGGATAATTCCACTTCAGCCATTACTTTTACTACATTCACATTTCCAATCTGTACTTTAGCTCCACCTCCTCCATTTCAGACACCATTAGCTTTATGCATTCTCTTTCACTGCCTGTCTCAGCTTATCTCAACTGACTTCAGCTTCTCCTCTGTCACAATACGTCCCTCAGTTGTGATAACCACTGCGGTACAGCTGAAACCGCTGTCTAGCCTGCCTTCCCTTCCACACCCAGCCAGGCTTTTGCTCTGAGCAGGACAAGATAGTTAACTGCAGAACACCAACCAGATCTTCAAAGGTAACCCACTCCACATGTCTGGAGTGCAAACTGTATTCTCAGCTTGGAAAGGATTTATTAGCAGGTACACAACCAATATGTGTTTAGTGCCTGTTCAGTGTGCAAGAACAACAGATGTTCTTTTATTTTCTTATTGTCAGATGCCTTACACAGTATACTACTGCTTTGCAGGTTGGAAAACGAGAAGGACTGCCCTATAAAGGCATCCACTTGTTCAGAATAAGCAAAGATAAGGTTAATAGGTAACAATAACAAGTTAACTCTTCTCACATCTAGATTCCAGGGTGGGGAGAGGTATATTTGAATGTTTTTCTGTCCCCACACAGCACACTTGACATGCATAGCATAAATGACAACCCCAGCAAATGGCACTTCTGGTGAAGTACACGTGCATTATGCCAGAAATGAGAGCCTAGGCAGGATACCTTGCAGAACAAAGCTCATTCATAGCCCAGCAGGCTCACAGACCAGCTCCCAAGAACAAGTCACACTGTTGGCCAGTACAGCTGGTACAGCTATAGGTACAGCTACAGTCCCAGAATATAAGAAAACTCAGACATGGACACAACTAACTCAAAAGATAACAACTACAAAACACTATTTACAGCATAAAAACTTATGCACCACTGCTTAGGGTTTTAGAATAAGTTGCTGAAAGAACCACAGGTTGCTAAACCTCTTAATTTCCCACTGAGAAACATGGGAGTAGGTTACAATGGCAGTTTGCACCAAAGAAAGCCTCTTATCAGCTTCATTGCTGGATCACTGAAAAGCACTGCCAGTACTACATGGAACCCAGTATTTGCAGTAAATGGCAAAAATCCTACTAATTTTCACAGGAATGGGGATGAGACCAAAATTACACACTGATGGTAATTACAATTCAAACACTCCGAGAAGTTTCAAATAGCAACTTTCCCACAGAGGCTGAATGGAAAAACCAACTCTATGATTAGTAAGAAGCTTTTAGCGTTTCATTATATTAATAACAGATTTCACTCCACTCCTATTAAATTTGCCTGGGATTAAACATCCACGTTTACCTCCTTTGAGCACACCATTGTGGCAGTTTCTAACATCAAAATGAACCTGCAAAAATAAATATTACACAGAATACTGTTGTTGTTTCCTACAACATAGTTACAGAAGCACATACATGCTTCTATAATTAAAATTACTCGAAAACATTTCCCTTACAGCCTATGATTTCCAAGGGGATACAAACTGCACTGCAGAAAAAAATCCCCCAGACCAACAAATAGTATCATAAAGCTTACACTGAAAAGCTACTTCATTGGTAATTAGTGTCCTCATAATCACAGCCTAACCAGCATAGCACAACATAAGCATTACATTTAATGCTTTTATTTATGTATGGAAAAACTTGAAATCAGCATTATATAAGTGTGAAGATCAGACTTATAAGCTATTGTACTTAGTATAAACATCATACAAACTGCTGTAGCTCTAAGGCTAGGCTGTCAGGTACTATCCTCAATGTTTGGTGCTAGCTATTTAGAATTATAGAATGGACCTTTAAATACCATCTAGTTCCAACTCCCCTGCCATAAGCAGGGACACCTTTCACTAAGTCAGGTTGCTCCAGGTCCCATCCACAGAATCATTTAAGTTGGGATATGATCCTTAATTTAAATGGAAGCTGTTTCAAAAGGTTAAGAAAGTGATGATTTAACACCAGAAAATGTTCAGTCCAGAAACTAACCTTCTCTCCTGAGAAATGATCAGGAAATAAATATATCAGCAAATTAACTTCCTTGCTCCAGTTGCAACTACCACACAATACAGAGAAGCTCTCTCTTTATCCGAATCCTCAGGTTAGCTTAATTTTAATGATTTTGCAAGTTAAAGCATTAAAATACTTGACAACATTGACCGTCTTACCGCCAGGTCTTTCATGCTCTCCATCAGTATGTAAAAGCATTGAAATTGGCATTCCAACATTCTTAGATCTCCCAGCTACAACAACATTTTTTCCAAATGTTTGGATTCCTTCAAAGAAAACACAGAACAAAACAGAGCACAAGATTTTATTTTGCTATTTTGAGATAAACCCCTTCTTCTCAATGCCCAATATATAATTATTTGCCGTTGCAGAATGCTGATACCAATATGACTTGGAAACCCACAACATTGAAGCCACAAAACAAGTTTTGACTTTCAGAGTAGAAACAGAACTAGCAACTAATTCAGGTCATCTAAACTTCCTTTCGGAGGGACTTAATTTCTGTTCTCTGACCACAAAGTGAAGCAGAAGCTCATACGTCAGTCAATAGGAGCATCTATAGCTACACATTAAAATGATGTCATATTATAACTATCCTTTCCCCTTCTAGTGACCAATTACATGTTCTCATTTCTGTTGTTCTCCCCGCCGCCTTGCCCCACAAGAAATTACAAATCGATATCTCGTATTTGATAATTAATCACAAAGTTAAGTAATATTCTTTAAGTTCCTTGCAAGACAAACAAGCAGAAAGGAAGTAAAAAAAAATGCTTTGAGTATTTCACATGAACCACCACCTACGCTTAATTAATAGTTACAATACTGGTAAAAAATAAAAATCTCATCTTTGGCACCTCCTTATTTTTTAGATTAATCCCCTAAACACTGTTCTTCAATGAGTGCAAAACATTACGATAGCCCACACCTTCTCATTCACACCTGACTTCATTCATTTTCTGCTTCTTAAATAAAAGTTTCAATATTGTTCAGTTTCTTACCTGTCCGCTTTATTATTTCCCACACGGCAGCAGCAGTTGCAGGTATTATCGAAGGCTGATCAAGACACAGACGTCCAATGTTAATAATATGAAATCCATCCACATCCTTTTCGGGTGCGATAGCATTACAAACTGTTCGCTCATCTATATGGTCTGGGAAACATTGCTTTCAAATTACATTTCTTTCACTTGTCAGGGGTCACCAGTCCTACCTGAATCATTACACTGAGAAACAAAGTTTCATCTAGCTAAAATAATTATCTCCCCCTCAATGACGAAAGTTAGAACCTCAACCCTCCTAGTCATCTAGTGGAAATTCAATGAGTCAGTGAACAACATAGCTAACGCAAAAGATTTGGTCAAACTTTAAGACTGATACTCAGCTATCAATTATGACAATTATTGAAGAGTTTAAGCACACCGCTTGAGTCTCTTCTACAATCTAGAAGCATTAATTATAATTTGGCTCATAAAAATCATAGGAGGAAAATCATTTTGTGCATACTCTCACCACTCTCTAACAGACCACAAGATATATTAACTAAGTTTTAATCAAATATAAGTAAATGGTAATCTCAAACGATTTTTACAGGTCTTATCTTCAGTTTCAATTTTATAACATGACAATTGCTTTAAAGAATTTGCCAATTTGGGGGTGAAGATAGATCCTACTTCTCTTGAAAACTAAGAATGAAAAAAAATGTTTGATAGCAAGGAGCTCCAAACATTAAATACAGTTGAAATGAAGATACCTGCACATAACTTATTATTTATAACTATTCATAATAAGCATTTTTCATACATGCTAGCAACACAGAATAAGTCTGCAGCTGCTTAAAGCTTACAATACATAAACATTTATAGTAATAATTATAAAGATATGTGTTAGCCAGTTCCAACTCTGAGAAGTTACAAAACCAAATATAAAAGTTACATACATTAGGACACTAGAGAAACAGCTCTATAAAGCATGTCTCCAATCTGACCCAGAAAGGACATTTAAAAAATATATTTAACATTTTCCAGAACTACACTCAAGCTTTAGTACCATCTCAGAACTAGTTTTTGCATCTCTTCTGTAAGGATGGAATGCCCATTCTAGGCTAGATCCCTAACTGAACTCTGCTATTGTGAGGTGACACATCCCAAAGGCCAATTCGGGGTGCATAACAGGATGTTTAAAAAAGCCCAATAAAGGGAAAATGAGTTTTGATCATGAAATTGAGACGTTTCCAATAACAGTGTTTTATAGACATCTTTATGGTATTCAGTGGTCACCCTGCTCTATTCATGTGTTGTCATATTTTGCATGAAAAGAAACGAGCTAATTAAAATATTTCATGCATACTAAGGAACTTAAAACATGATAAGCTCATGTTAAAAGCTTTCCAATTAAAACAAACAAAAAACACCTTAGAGTTAAATCAGACCACACTTAACAGGCTTTACTATTATGATTTGAGATTGGAACTTTATCCCTTGGGAAAATGGAGAATTCCTTCTGTATCCTACTGATATGGGCCTGTGGAAATTAAGGTGTTAAGTACGTAGAACAATGTCTTTCCTGTCTGTCTTTAGCTTCCCTGAAACAGACAGGCAAAAAGTCAATTTCACGTAAGAGGCAGAGAAGTCTGTTTCATATGCATTTTTTCCACTAAGAATTGATTTTTGGAATTTCAGAAAAGGGGCACAATGTACTGGAAAGAAGTACAACTGTATAGCTAGGAACATGTCAGCTGGTACTGGCCTGAGAAATAAAGACGCGGACACCTTCCTGGCCTCAGAGTTGCTTATAGAACGCCAGCTTGATCATCATCATCATCCCCTATGCTCCTCCAACAAGAAACAACAGCTGCAATTGTTTATGTAGTAGAGTAACTACCTAATGTGTAGCTTTTACTTGCCACAAGATATTCTTCCTGGTTTATTTCCACTGGGCTACAGTATCTTCCCCCCCCCCCCCCCCCCCTTCTTGCTCCAGAGGAGCAAAGCCATTTCTTCAGTGTGTTAGTGCCAGTCTCACAGAACACGCTTAGCCTTCTTTCAGCTGAGGTTCACCCAAACCTCCTTGCTGTCATTCCAAGCTCTTATTTACACAACAAATAACGCGTGCCTCCAATGCAGACATACTAAAAATGAAGACTGGTTTTCAAAAGAGAGGACTGATGAAAATGATAACAACGGAACAAAAGAGATTCTTAAATATGCCACGTGGATCAAGAAACATGGACTGGAAGCAAGGAAGAAGCAGTTCAGCAGCAGCGACGAGCTCCTTGGGAATCTTCTTGAGAAGCTGTACAGGGCCCTTGCTATGATTTTAGTGCTTGGCTCCACAGAAGCACATAGAAGCAGGTTGCTCTTTGGCTGGCACTGTCCTTCACAACAGAAGGACATGATGTTTATCCCAATTTGTCCCACACCTCATTGCTGCTTAGAATGCAAAAAATTTGATATTTTCTTAATTTTATCTCAGACAAACATCTAACATGTCACAGCCATCTTCCAGGCAAGGGAAGAGATAAGGAAACTCTCCACGAAACCATTACCATATCAGAAGCAATGCACTCAAAAGGTGCACAGAAAGGAAGTTTTCCTCGGGCAAAGATGATAATCCTCAAAGTTAAGTTGCTCCATCTCACAAAAGTCAAAGAGAACAAAGCTATTCTCTGCTTCTATTTTTATCCCAATGTTGATCAAAAGCCACACCTGTGTGTGGTTTATTGAAAAAATAAATAAGTATCCAAAACCACACAACCATCCCAACTGTGGGGTAAGCAGCCACTACTGATCAAGTTTTCACAACTTCTGGGCTTTGTATCCTTCCATTACAGTACAAGTTGAAAGGACTTTGGAAAATTGGAGGTAAGTAACTTATCTGCCCTTCTCTCTAATGTTCCTTTGCCAGAGCATGATATTTAGCAGTAAATAAATAATATCAAGTAATAATTCAGCACTCCAAGCTACATCCATTATAAAAAGAATTCCCTGAACGTTTTCAGTTCATGATGGATTAGATATGTACCTTTACTGTGTATCTACATGGACAAAGTGGTTTTGGAAAGGTTCTGCTGTTAACTAAATTACTCTAAGGTTTTACTACAGTAGGCAACAGCAAGGCTTCAAATTAGCAAGTTCTACAGGTTAAATGAAAAATATTTAGTCTTAACGTAGTTACTGTGACAGACATGCTGTAGTTCTTGAAGGGGATGTTAACCCAGTTATTTGTGGCCTTAAAACATTTAAAGGTACTAGCAATAGACACATGAATTGACACAACTAGAGTCATGTTCAGATTGTTTCTTTTAAACCTGTTGAACATTTGAAAAATCACTAAGGCTTCAGTCCCTTGTTGAATTATGTATCACTCTGTACAACGAAGGCAGACTGCTCAAAAGCCTATTGCACGTCCTGATCCATCTGATATCAAGTATTTCTGCAAGCGGTACCCAACTATCTTATGTAGGGTCAGCACAAGATAGATATGTGACACACAACGCCCACACCACCTCCCTTTTCTGGGGAATGCCGCCACAGATTACGGGTCTGGAGGGTGGCTCTCTCCTATGTTACACACACTGCAGAAGTTTTCAACACTGACAGCTGAGGGATGAAATCTCTTGTATCAGTTCTTGTTAACTAACCTGTCTGCCCTGATCTCTTCTTACAGAGAGAGATCTTTGTTCTAAGCAAACCCACCACTTTCAGCCAGCTCCACTAGTTCTTTACTTTATATCCAAGACCTCCTTCTTACTGGTGTTATACTTCCACCTCGTGGCCAGCTTATTCCAGCAGGTGGCAAATTTGGGCACAACCATTAGGTAGTTTTCATATAATATGAAGTGCAAGAATAAGAACATAAATCAGTGTTCATTTTCCAAAGAGAGGACAATGAGTCTATTATCAATGTGAACAAAACACATCTTTCTCTTCCTCCGTAAACATACCACCTGTCCCGTTGATGTTTTGGGGATACACAATTAAGACTGTAAGAACTGCCTGAAAGCAAAAACCAAGACTACAAAAGGGGAAACAAAGAGCTTACTTAAAAACTGATCTTCCACTTCACGATCACTAGTTTTGTTTACAAACACTAACACACATCAGGTCCCACCTTGTGCTAGGAACTTGCATCTATAAATCCCCAAAAAAGACCACTTCTGCACTTCAGAGCCTACAGTCTAAATATGTGATAAAAAGCAACAAGTGGAAATACCAAAGTGGAGCAAACTCAACACGCCAGTCAGTTTATTACAGTTACTCTAGTAATTCAGGCACATCTCTACAAGAAAGTTTACACTGGTTTAAATAAGTTGATTTAGGTAAGTTTGTAAGAAAATCTGCAAAGTTTACCTCTGTCTAGGGACCATCTTGCCAGCTACTGACAACTCATTTGTACGGATCAGCCAGGTGAGTTTTTAGTATGGACTGCAAAGGGGTAAGTAAATCAGCTAGAATATTATAGAGGCTTTTAGGTCCTTAGCACAGAGCTCACCTGGAACACTGGGGAAAGCACAGAACAGGCAAGAATTGGAACTACTGTGAGAAAGGCTGTAGCATCATCTGCTAAATAGCATAACTTGGCACAAGGTGGGGGGATGAAGAGCAAAGGTCTGTGGCAAAGGTCTTGGAGTTCAAGGAAAAGCAGTGCAACATGTTAAGAAGAAAATAAAACCAGAGAAGTCAAATAGATAAAATGGACAGGGTTGTTCTGTATACAACAAAAAATATTTCTATGATCTCTTCATTTAGTCCTTCATTATATGTGTCCTCTTTTGAGAGTTTCTTGTATCACTGAGACAGACTTGCCACAGCAAAAGGCGTTAAACATTTTTCTCTCATGCTGACTGTATTAGAGGGGTGGGATAAGAGATCACTTACCTGGGAGAGGTAGCTGAACTAATACACCACTAACTGATGGATCCTTGTTGAGTTTCAATGTCATATCTAACAGTTCTTCCTGAGAAACATCTTCAGGCCTTAGTATGATCTCACTAGAAATGCCTGATAACAGAAACATATTTGTTATCAGGAAATTGATGTACACAGAGCTTATTCATTTTGTCTATCAACCTGCCTGATGCTTGACAAACATCTTCAATAATCATGCAGTACTTCCAAAAAAAATCCCACTTGAATTCTATGGGCTTTAATGCTGTATTTCCAGTTGTCAAGTGCAATCTCACAATGAACCATGCAAAAAAAAAATAAATCAGTAGTTTGACCAAGTAGCTTCAAAAGTAAAAAAAAAAAAAAAAAAGTTTTAATACTGGTAATATGACTGTTTTGTTACTATGAGACAAAATTCAGATTTTTCAAGTTACTTCACAAGATTGCAACTCCATGGTGAGCAATAAAGTTGAAGTTTTCTGTTTAAGCTACTTCCATTTGGAAGTGGGATGCTGTACTGACTGGTCCTTATTCCAGGACCAGGGATTTACTTGAGTAAAATCAAGTAAAGATACAAAGGAGATCACTCTCCTACTTCTAGATATATATGTTTATATATATATTTAAAGCACTGTATCTTGCCCTTACTACAATAACATTTATATTATATTGTACATACCTACAGCTGTAGCTGCTTTTACCTTGTTTCTGACATATATATGGCTAGCTGGATTGTCTCCTACTAATACAACAGTGAGATGAGGCCTCTTGTTTCCAGAGGATATCCACGATTCCACATCCCTTTGAACTTCCTTCAAGACTTCTTTAGCAAGCTTGGTCCCTGAGATAACAGTTGCTTCATCGCTATAAAGACAAAAAGGCACACAACATTTACCTCTAAAAAATTGCACGAACAAGACACTTTTTAGTTTGTAATCTACTGTGTTAAACACTTGCAAGTCCTTGGACTAGCCAATTCAGTAGCATTCCAAATATTATTTGAAAAAATTCTAATGCAGTACAAATCCACCTGTGGAAAAAAAACCCTCTCATTTAAAGGGAATTTTTATATCTTCAAATGCTTTTCAAATAAGATCATCTAAGTGCTACCAGTGCATACAAAAGAGAAGCTTCACCTGCCTTCTGCCTCACACCCCACCGTCCCAGCACACATAGCCAATCTGGTTTAGTAGTTATCAATTCCTGTGCTTGGGAACAGGACACAAGAGCAGTCTTACACCATGAAGTTGTTTCTGTCTTAAGGAAGTTTTCTACTCACTCTATAAACTTACTTCAAAAAATATACGTGACATGGGATTCTGTCCAAAGCTTGATTATAACGTATCTAAGCTAATTTTAAGAAAGCTGAGAAACACCTACACTGATTAAGTCAAGAGCTGCTCTTACACCCTCTGTTTTCACGTCCCCGTCCTTCCCAAAACCTTGCTCTTCACCTCAACCAGCACTATGGCAGACAAACCTCCTCCTGGGAAGTACCCACCACCATTGCCCTGCCTGTGTAGCAAAGGCAGAGGGAAACTCAAGTCTCGTGCTTCCAACTGACTCCAGCCCCCCTCAGCATCATTCCCTCCATCACTGCAGTGATCATGACCCCAACCAAGGATGTGGAACCCCCCAAATGCACCCCTCCAACCTGCAAGAAATAAGCCTTCAGTATGCATCACTTTCAGGTATTAGGATATTAACTTTTTAATGAAATAAGCCAACCTTTGTAAATCAACTTTACTGCTAGCAGGGGAAGGAAAGAAGCAGCAGGAACAGAGAGAAAGCCAGAGGGCAAGAAATTGTGGTGTCGCTGACTCAGTTTGAAAAAGGGTATTCTATACAATTCAACATCATAATTTTAAGCAGCCAAGAAGATGAAGCTACATTTCACTTCTTCCAGAGATTTGTGCGCCTTCTGCCATTCTCAGTAAACCTTAATAACCCAAGAAGCTAAAAGCAGAAGGGTGTGAAGTTAATTAAACTGGGCAGGAAGAAATCCCCCAAAACACCAAAATACCAGGCTGAGGCTTTATATAAAAGAAGTCACCTAAACTTCACTTCTCTATCTGACTGACAGATGAGGAAATCCTGTCTACGTTTCAGACCACTGAACAACAGTGCTATGAGGACTCAGCTACAAAGAAGAACAGAATATCTGAACACACATTTTTCTGGGCCAGAAATAATAGTAGCCAACTCTATTTTCTCCTACAACTCATTCCCTTCAAATACCATGACAATTTTTGAGCAATAAGATGACAACTGTTGAAACGTATTTTAAAATAACATTTATTTCAAGTGGAACACAAGGTAGATCATGGGTGGCAGAGGGTGACATTAAGTAAGAAATTCGACTGACAAGCCCAACCCTTGCCCTCAAGTGATACTGGTGACAACAAACTTCAAACTTAGCCTTTAAAAGCTTTACCAATTTCTTCCATCAACTTCCTGTACTCTCCTCAGTGGCTAGCTCCTCAATGATCAAGTGCGTCTCTACCAAAACTGCTCTTTATTAAGGCTTGTTTTATTGGCATCCCCCACATGCCAGCTTGATCTTTCCTTGCTTGTTGCCTGTGTGCTTACTGTCAGCAGAGGTGCTGCTCACCTTGCACACTGTGCATGACGTTTCTGCACTTCAGAAGCTTTTACCTATGCTGTTTGAGCCTCTTGCTTCCTCACAGAAACTCAACCACTCCTAACACAATATATATCTACAGTTAAGCTTCCTTCCACAACTATCCGATATTACGACAGCAACAGCTTTTCTGACTGTGAAAATGCAGCGAGGTAACACCTAGTCCCTGGAAACAGAACTACAGATGCGGAGTTACCAGTGAGAAGACAGACTTGATCTTACCGAGCTGAAAATAACCTTGAGCTTGCTCCTTGGAAAAAAAAGTCTTTACAGGTACACACACACAGACCATAAACCCTGCTTAGAAATGAACGCATAAATTCAACATGACTACCATTTGACATATTATAAATGTCCCCAATAGAATTATGGCACCAACATGGAAGAGACTTAAAAATAATAAATAAATAAATCACAGTGCCTAGTATTTAAGGAAAAAAACAAAAAGCAAAAAACAAAACCACCCTGCTGAAACCAAGCTATCCAACCATTCGTCCCATTAAGCAAACCAACTTAGGGTACAATACATGAACATCTTGTTTCCTTCAATTTTACTCCAGCTTTAGCTACTTCCCAATATAACCTTCAGTACTACTTAACTTGCATTAATTTTTAAACTAAAAAAAAAAAATCAACATGTAGGTTTTTTTTTTTCCCCTATATGGCCTCCTCTTTATGTTCTCATTTCCATACTTCTCACATCTGAATGATTTATGCTTTGGCTATACATGCCTTTGGCACAGGACACTTGATTCCATGTACTCATTATGCTAAATAAATAATTAACGCTCATCTATGTAGCAATGGCACGTATATTTAGTGATACAAAAACTTAACAAAATACATATTTAATGATACAAATGTATATTTAATGACACTACTTAATTTTTTAATGGCAGCAGATACAAAAGCCACATCATATTTCATTTGTACTCTAAATGCATTGCCAAAGTATTAGTTCTCCTAATCCTTAAGCAGCCAATTTTAAGTGCATGCCTCTTCCCCAAAAGACTAACCACATACTCATTAAGTTTTGAGGATCTCATGTAAATCTGACCATACTCACCCCACCGCATTCAAACTTCTCAGTCAAACAAGGACCAAAAAAATCAAAAGCAAATGAACAGAACCACAGTGCTAAAAAAAAAGAAAACAAAATACCACAATACACACACACAAGAAAACAATCATCCCCTCCCCATACACATACTATAAGCTAGGACAAAACGTACATAATATGTCATAGGTAGGAGGTGCATTGATTACACTCCACGATGCTTGCATCTTTCTCAATACAGCATAAAGCAAATTTTACAAGCCTAAGTGAAAGTCAATTATAAAAGATAAAAACTTGACTGAACAAACAGCTTCAAGTTTAAAGTACTCTAAAAAAATGGATACTCTGGGGCATCCCAGATTATAGGAAATCAAAATGATCCCACATTAGTTCACATACACAGAAGAAAAAAAACAAACTCAGAACATGGCATGAAGGTGTGGGATGGCCCTACTTCCAATGGGCTATCCTCTTCTGATATTCCCATAACCATGTGGATACTTTCAAGATGTAAAAAATAATAAAAAAACAAACAAACAAAACAAAACACAAAAAACACAACTTATCACTTGACAGTGTAGCTCTATTTGCCATATCCATAACTTAAAGGTGCTGGGGAGTGAGATGCTAATAAGTACGTATGCATTTATGCTCTTATGGAAGTGACTCCAGGTCTCAAGGATAATCTCACTGGAAATGATGTATAGAAAAATACTTATCTAAAACTGTGAGCCTTTGCTTTGGAGGCTGACTGTGAAACACACAGCAACTGAAATCACTAAATAATTTGTGAAAGGTCAGTATCTTACAGAATTACAGATAAATAGCCTGTGAAGTTTCAGATGCATTGTTCTCTACTCATCTCCTCAAAAAAAAAAAAAAAGAGAAGCAAAGTAAAACATAAGCTTTTTTTTTTTTTTGTGCTGATCTCTCTAAATCTTATTATTACTTGTAGCAGGCCGGAAAGCTTCCCCCCACCACCATCCACTCATGGATGGTGATCACAGACCTGACTCTACCCATGCAGGCTCGACCATGCACAATTTACTAATCTCAGTACAATGTTATCAGCACAATCCTTTTTTTGAGCAAAGCAAAGCACAGTAGCTTGATAATGGTTCTGAAACTCAGCATCCCTGTTGCCACAAGGCCCAGGCTATTAAAAGCTTTCCACATGCCCACCAGATTCCACCAAGAAGAATCACTGGAACCAACCTGTAAATATTGCTACTGCAACAACCATCGCTTGGGTTGAAATGTTCACCATTTCTTAAAGTTCCCTTGCACAGGTTGTGTAGTAGATTTGAAAGCTTATGTCACTATCGTATATAGCAAACATAACCCTTTTTCTAATCTTCCTTGAAGACTATCTTACTATCTAAGAAAGAAGTAGAAGCTTTGCCCTATCTCAGCCAGCAGCTAAATCATAGGTTTTACATATCTAAATACAAATGAAACAAGTGTAAAATAACCATTACATTACTTAGAATATAAAGATTGTATTCTTCCTTCCCAAAGTTAGGTATAGCGCAATCAGCAGGTATTGAGTTGTGTTACCATTCTGCAAGTCTACTTGATTAAACACAATTAAGAAATCTCAGTACTTGGTGTTCACACTTAACCATACATACATGTATTTCAGTTATACAAACCGAAATCTCGGTACTTTAATAGGTCATCTAGAGAGGTCCTAAAATGAATTACTTCAGTACTTATAATATATTATCTTAACTGATCATCTTGTAGAAAGCCAATATGTTGCTCTTCTTATCAAAGATTTTAACGATTTAAACTCCCAGAATGAATTACTTATTTTTACACCTTGTGCTCAGTTAAACTTCAGCTTCTGTTACTTGAACTCAGCTTGACACATCAAATAAGAAAAGTACCCATTTAACTTCTATTTTCTACAGGGACAGCAGCATTTACTACTTTCCTTCATTATTAGTTTCTGTTGGGTCCAGAATTTCATTTAGAATTCTGTACAAATTCAGGATGTTGTGGAAGCACAGGTTATCTGTTGTCTCACAGAAGCGTGGTTTAAATTAAATAAAAACCTTTCTGGTAAAAAATAATAATTAAAGAGACCTAGTATAAAAAAATAAACTGATTAGCTATTAAAAGAATAAAAGGTTGACATCTCCAGCAGAAATCACTTCCTCAGCCTGAGAACTCTGACCATCCAAAACACAGACATCTGAACCTTCTCTGCAAATACGCATGCTTGATGCTTTAACATGCATTTGTACACACAGGCAGTTAGCACTGGTGGTGTATAACATATGCTGAGTTAGTTTGCCAAGATTAATGTATTTCATGCTAACTTGCAAAAGCAAATAAAGCCTTCTGTTTTAGATAAAAGTCAGAATGACTTTCAACCGCTACAGATCTGATCATGTTTTCGCATTACTCCTTTCTGTACTATATCCTGGGGGGAAAACAAGGCTGCACCTAGAATAACATTCAGTGGGAAAAAAAAAAAAAAAGACACACAAAGAAATGATCTAAAAAACAATTTTGCATTGTCTCAACTACAAGAAGCCACACAAAAATAACTTGCAATTAATACTAATGAGATGCACATTTGTCTATTAGCATAGCCAAACAAGGAAAATATTTGGTGACAACTCACCATATGGGCCAAATAAAGCCAACAAACACCAGATTTACTGAGGGACTCGTGTCTAAACCTTGTGAACGCATGGGTGTTAGAACATTAAGGATTTTTAAGTATTACCCTAACAACATATGGAAAAAATGCAGTGGTGAGTTCTGAAAAAAAAAAAATTATTTCCTCTGCTAGTCTTAAAAATAGGGAGAAAAAGAGATTAAAACAAAAACACCACACCTATCTCCACATTAATAAGACAGTATATACATCTGCTCAAGGAAAAATGCTCACGGCTGTCAAATTGAGAAATAGCAAATACTGTAGCATGTTGATGCTTAAGCAGATTGAGAATCTAGGTTAACTCCTTCGATGGAAATATTACTTGAGAATCACACCAAGAAAGGCATCAGGTATACAGAAAGGTTACACACTGCAACAAATTAGCCAAAGCACTCAAAACAACTGAATTATTTTTTTAAATATATCCACACGGAAAACTTGACAGGGTGGGATGTCAGTGAGCAAGCACGTTTGTGCTCCCTGCCCCGCTACCATGACACCTGCTCGTGGATGCTCTTGGTCTGAAGCCTGTCTGAAATTACAACAATTCACGTACTGAGTCTTTCTTGTGACTTGCAAAACGTTACACCAAGATGCCAGCTACTCTTTTAGATCCACATACACACCAGTCCAAAATCATATGAGGCTTCACAACAGGATCTTCTCAACTCTATATATACACCATAATTTCCAATGAAAACCTCAGTAAAAGCATTATCATAGGAGCACCTGCTTTTACCTGAAATTTAAAAAACAGTTACTGCCAACAAAGAACAGAAGTGGGCATACGTTTTTCCAGAAACACAGACATTTGTGCAGAAAAACTGCAGAATCACATGCACCAACAAAACATACACAATGCCTAGAAGGTAAAGATGCTTAATGCGGTTATCACGGTTTTGCTTACCAAGCTTTTCATGTTTGAAAAAAGAGGCTACAAAGCTTTCAGCAAACACTGCAGTGCTATGTGAGATACACAGACACCGCTTTTAGTTTTTTTCCCCCATTTTTTACTTCATACTCATCCAGAAGAGAGCAGCTGCCTGCCCTTCTGAGGGCAGAGATGCAAAAAGATGGACCCCCACCACCGCATTTTCTCTCTTCAGAGAGAAATTCTCCAGTATCCATTAAAATATCGTTATACGACCTGACAGACGCCAAAAAATCAGTACAAGCTAATTCTGCGTAAAACAATCAAGACACAACTGCAGGTCCCGGGAGCAAAATAATCCTGAAAAGGCCGATTTCTGCCAGCAGGGGGAAGGAAAGCCGAGCCGCCAGGGCTCTCCCGCCCAGGTCACCGCGCGGACCCCCGGGGAGCAGCCGGGGGGGGGCCATTTTGTGTCACCGCCCCACACCTGAGGGGGGGGCCATTTTGTGGAGCCCCCACCCCGCGGCGGGGGCGTGGAAGGCGAAGGCGCCCCGTACCTGGCGGCGCTGCGGGGGGAGCCGCTGGCGCTGCGGGGCGCCGGGCAGGACAGGGCTCGCCATCTCCTCAGGGGAGCCAAGCAGGGGCGCAGCGAGACGGTGAAGGAGGAGGAGAAGGCGGCGGCCGCCATTTGCCTCCCGCCGCCCACGAAGCGCAGCCGCAGCCCGGCGGTGGAGGGAGGAGCACGGGGCAAGTAGCGGGGCCGGGGGCGGGCTCGGAGGAGGAGCCGATGGCTCGGAGTGGGGCAGCGAGGCTGAGGGGCGAGGCGAGGCGGCAGCCCGGGAAAATTAAAAAAAGGAGGGGTTTGAGGTAGAAAACGCCTCAAGAGAAGGAGCGAAGGGCGGGCAGCGCCTTTGGGTTTTGCCCTGCCTGGATCCTGTGAGCTGCTGTTCCCGCCAAAAGGCGGCGTGGCGAGCCCGGCGGGCTCAGGCAAGCACAGGATCCCAGAAGTGTTTAGTGTGGAAAAAAAACTTAAGGTCATCGATTCCACCCATCCAGCTAACACTGCCAAGGCCACCACTAAGCCATAGAATCATAAAACCATGTCCCTAAGCACCACATCCACACATTTCTTGAGTATCTCTGGGGATGGCGATGCCACCGCTTCCCTCAGCTGCCCCTTCCAAGGCCCAGTCAGCTTGTCTGTGAAGAAATTCTTCCTAATATCCGATCTAAACCTCCCCTGGCACAATTTGAGACTGCTTTCTTGCATGCTATCACCTGTCACCTGCGAAAAATGGCTGACACTAACCTCATTATAGTCTCTTCAGGCAGCTGCAGTATGATGCCCCACATAATTCTCAGGTACATCCTCTTGTTTTCCCAGTGGAAGTTTCTTGGACTTCCTTGTGATTCATATATTAGTGCCTTCAGTCATATTTTATTGTAGACTTTTCTCTACATCTAGAAGAGAAGAAGAAAACTAAACAAGATCTGAAATACAAAGCATGCCAAAATAGTAACAGCAATCTTACCTGCAATACTGAGCCTACCTGAGAGCTGGCAAATTCCTTTATGAAACTGGGGAACGCTGTGTAAATGATACAACAGATTACTATGGCAGTTTCTGCTATAGCACTGGCAAATTTTTTGATCATTTAGGTGTTCACATAAGGGCCATGGCTTAGGTGCTTACACAGAATTTGTACATACTGGGATATGTACATACTAGGTATCATCCTAGATATCTCTCATATCTCTTCCAGTCTTGTGTATATTATTTAAATCTTCCCTTTTAGCTTGCCATCTCTTATTTTATATACAGTAGCAACACCATCTAGCATGTATGTACTACATTAATTGTAAAGCTTTGTCACTACCCTGTTTGGAGAGAACTTAACATGTGAGGATATAGGAATTCTCATGAAAATTTATGGTCCTAAACAGATACCAAATCTTTAAGACATAATTAGATTAGATTCTAAAGCAAAATACTGACACTTATATGCTGCTGGAAAGGAAAAAATGTATTTCTTTTTACTTCCTTTCAGGTAATCCTGAAAATGAAGTAGGTTACTTGAAAGATACATATATATATATATATAAAAAGAGGAGGTAATATATTAAAAGAAAGAAAAGTTAAAGAGGATAACAGAGAACATGACAGAGAACTGAAGAAAAAAAAATCACATTAGTAATAAAAATTGGTATTACAGAGACGAGAATTCTGTCAAAAGTTTCCTTTTGTCAAGGAAGAAGAAGGTTGTCTACTCTTTTTTTTTTTTTTTTTTTTTTTTGTGTGTGTGTGTGTGCGTGTGTGTGTGTGTGTGTGTGTGTAAAGTGTATACTTGATTATAAAATTTGGAATTGCTGCTGTTAAAGTTTTCCACAGACAAAATATCCAACAAATATTTCTCTCACTCCTTAGTACACTAGAAAAGTAGTTTTATGATAAGTATTTTTGGTAAAATTTGCTATTCCGGTTGTGACTGAAAAACTGTTTTAGATCAAAAGTACATGAGTTACAGAATGTTTGGCAAATACAGGCGAGTATATTCTTATATTCAGTGATGATAAACCCAACAACAACAGAAAAACAAAATTATCTACTATCTTTTGCAAACTCATATTTTATTTCAGTTGAACTCCTGCAATTCATATCAACCCCTAAAGATATATGAAGCCAGGTATTCGAGATGAAACCTTTTTTTTTGTCCATAGTTGCCTCGCTAGGCCTTAGATCCTATTTAAGTTTAAAACTAAAATATCACACTTTTTTTTTTCTTTTTATTATTTTTAATTAAATTAACTTTTGCATCATATTGGCCATCTCAGCTTTGACCTTGAGGCTATATCTATTAATAATTACCAAAAAAAAAAAAAAAAAGAAGAAGAAGAAGAAGCTATTTTTATCAGTGGTTCACACCACTGGCTTTTCCTATGACTCCTGGAAAAGGATAATCTGAAAATCCGTGTCTGCTATAAGAACAGTTCAATCTAACAGCTCCCAGAGCAAAGCCTACAAAAAGTGACCACATTGCTATTGCTAAAGGTGCACTGAATACATTACATAGAAAACCTTATATAAATACTACAATAATAAAAAATAGTAGCATGTTATCCACACTGAGCTGGTGAAATTGGTACAAAAGACAAAGCTGAAAATATGCCATTTTTTTTGCTTAACAGTTAAAGCAAAGTTAGGCATCGGCAGCTGTGAAAAGGTGGGTACTCTTAACAGGTTGTTTCAGAGTATGTTATACTTTGTGTGTTTTTATGTGCAAATGATAACAGGCTATAACCTTAAAATACTGCTTTGGGTATTAACAATCCCATCAACCTAAAAATATCTCTTAATTGTTATTTGTGTCTAAATGGGAAGTTGATTATTTTTCTTTTGGTATGAAGCCATATCACCGTTCTCTCATCTTGTAAAAACCCTTATCAGGAAATGTAGCTTAACAAAAAAAAAAAAAAAAAAAGTGAATAATTTCTTTTTATATAATTTCTTTTTATATCCTGGGGGAATATTATACCTTTGTTCGCTGCTCTGCTTTTTCTTCTCTTTTTTTTGTCTTCCCAGCTACTGGAAGCTGTATATTTGTATAAGATAAAGAGGCTGAGAAGAAACACAGTCTTAGTTTAAGAAAAATAATGAGTCTTACTTTTGGAAAAACATAAGTCAAAAACATTTTTCCTCTTAGGTAGCTTTGTATTTAAATTTATTTATTTATTCCTTTTTTATTTAAATTTCCAGCCATTCTTTACTATCTCTACACCCCTCTCCTCTGTTTTTAAAGAACACCGATATCCTGGATGAATTTATTTCTGTACTTGCACAAAGGGATGTACTTTTCTTCCCTGGTTTTCGAGGTCATGCTGGAAGCTAGCCACCAGGAGGCGGCATTTCCACGCGTTAGACTCGCTTTACGTTGTTGCCTTGTTCTGGTGTCTGCTGGTTTTTAGGATCTGGAAGAGAAAAATGAACCTTGAAGCACAGGCAATCGTTCAACCCCCCTTTTCCTTATGCTTGTCCTGAAACTATTAAGAGCCTTCAGGCTGCCAGTGCACACAGCATGTTTAGAAAAATCTTGGCTCAAATACACAGTTTTAAGGCATGAACTGAAGGAACAAATACCTTGCCAAGTCTATTTTAATGAGATTTTTTTTTTTATCCTAGTTACTTTGGCATACCTTTCTTAGACGTCAAAGCAGTAAATCAGTGCTCTCAGAGCACTCAAGAAGGCTTGAGCCCTCCCAGAGCGCTCTAGTTTATGGATAGATTTGGGATCAAATTTTGAGCAAAGATTCTGGTGTTACTTTTAAAAACTAAATACAATAGAAATAATTAACCAGTATACGTTAACCAGTAAATGTATAACAGTATACATTTATAATGCTTTTCACAAACTTTATTTGATCCCCTAAAAGCATGTTTGGATGAAGAATCAAGGAAATTATTTTCATTTGATTTTAAATCACACAACGATCCGTCTTACTACAAAACCATTAATACCTAGTAATAACTACTATTATTGTTATTAATATCTATTGCTAAGTAGCAGCAACACCCAGATTCTGTAGTCTACTTGCAAAAATACATAATATTTTGACTATTTCATCATTTTTTATTCTTAGCCAAAGAAACCAAGTAGCCTGTTTGAATCGCAAGGAATGTAAAATGTGCTATAAATACACACAGATTCTACTCAAACAGTGTGATTTCCCAGTCGAGTTTAGAGTCGATAAATTTGCAATAGTCTGCATACTTGTTCTGCCACAACTCTTTGAATATCTTGCCTCTGTACTTATAACTCAGCTCAAGTGAAACCAAGGTATTTAGTCAGTGCTGCCGCTCCTTGCTATGAGCGCAACAGCAGGAAGCATGAATTTTCAGCCTTGGAAAGCTTCTCTTAAGCTTCATTCACATGTTAATCGTATTTGTATTTTTATTTTATGTTATTTCCAAATAATCATTAACAACGATAAACATTGCTGAGACTTAGCATGTGGTTTAACGACACAGCATAAATTATTTCTGATAAAGGGATCTTCCCATGGGTCTTACATTACAGGTTGTTCTCAGAAAAAAATGCCCATGAAAATTGTTTTTCTGATGACGTAAATCAACAGAACATAAAACCAGCATTAAAGGTGGATTTTTACTTCAGTATACTCATACAGTTAGCACTGTTACTGAAGCGAACACATGTTATGAGTTTACATCAAAGTAAATTTTCACTGAAGTCTCCAGCATACCCATACTATTTATCTTCATTCTTGTCACTTGCTAAACTGTTCTTCATCTGTCTTTGTTTTTGAAGCCCCTAGAACTCATCTAGCCACTAGGCTGCTACATTTTTTGGCAAAGCACTCTTTTGTTCACCATCCCAGGATGTAACTTTATCTCCAGTTTATTTATATCACTCAAAAAAAAAAAAAAAAAGGAAATTCTAAAGACACGTTACAATTTTCAACAGCTTTTTCATGCCAAAAATTTAGAAAAGATGTTAGTATAGCTACAGTTACCTGTATGAGACTCTAAGCTCATGGCATTTGCCTTATGAAAATATATACTGTCTCAAGTCTTCTACAAAATTATAGACACTCCAAAATACCTGTCGCATGCATATTGCAGTTACTGTTGCCTTATATACTTTGACAGTTTCACCATCTTTTATGGGAGGGAATGAGTGACTTGGCAGCAGTAATATGCCAGTGGTACAAAGTTCCCATCTTTTTTTTTACCTGGGTTTTTGGTTTGTTTATTTATTTATTTATTTATTTAACTTTAGGGGCACAATATTTCTGTCTAATACAGGATTGAAATTCCATTGCTGACTATTTTTTTTTTCCTTTCAGGCAAGGACAGATGGTCCCTTCTCAAGTTTCATTTCCGAGGGCTGAGAGGTGTTTCCTTCTGAACATGCAGCAGAATGCTGTTGTTTATGGCTGAGGTGAGTAGCTAATCAAACCTGATGAGCAGGGCTGCAGAGGGTTTAAAGGTGTCTGGGAAAAAAATACAAATACTGTGATGGGTGCGGGCTGCAGAAAGATAAAGACAGATTTGAATTGAGTTGCCAAGTTAATTGCTGAGCACTCTTCTTTTTGGAAGCTAACTTGATGTGCTGGAGGGAATTGATAAATCGGAGTCCAGGGACCAAGGGATTTGGGTGTATCACTGTTGAAGAGCTTGTGTGCTGGCAGCTGTCTTTGATCACCAGGGGAATTACAGGAAAGCGCTTAAAAGAATCTGTGAATATGTGCAGCTGAGCTTGGTCATTCTCTCTTTGAGAAAAAGGCGGGGGAGAAAACTTATGAAGAAGTTTCTTGTAATGTTCTGATTTGCCTTAAGTGTAAAAAAAAATGAGGTCCATCTTAAACAATTGCATGACAGTAGAAATATGGTTTAATACACTTATGATGATGAGTGCACTGTTCCTGGAAAGCAGAAAACACTGATCAGAATCAAAGTGCAATCTGGTATATCACACAAAAATGGCTGGACAAGGAATAAATTGGTCTTTTAAAAGCCAGTCTGTAATCAGTGTGTTTGTCAGGATCTACATTTGTTTTCTTTCTCTGTATTTTAAAAAAAATTAATATAATTTGATTCCTTGTTCTTCAAACTGGACTATTTGCCACTTTAATTTAGATTTAGTTACAGACTTAATTTAAAGTTAATATTCCAATGAGGAGAAGAGGAGTAGCCAACTTCTTGAAATAAAAATAGGCTGGTGTGGGATATATTATATTTATTGTCTAGGTACTACAGAAACAGTGTTTTTCTGGAAACTGATATGAATCCAGCACTTTACTGAAAGGTCACCAATGTAATAAAAGTTATAGAAGAATGTATGCAAAACATCCTAGAATGAATTATCAACAATCCATTGATGAGGAGCAACAAATATAGGTATCAAGTGCAGCATCATACCTGAGATTACATACATCGGGTAGATGTGCTGCTAGCAGGTAGGAGGATTACTAAGGAAAACTTTGGGCTGGGATGAAAAGTCATATTTATGCCAACGCACCAATCAGGAAAGATAAGGACAAATTTATCCTTAGTACATGTATAATTCTTTTAGGTTAGTGGATGACTTTTGCTTATGATGCCAGCTGGTTCACACAGAAAACTAAGATGTTTTATCTTCTCTGTGCAAAACCATTTCTGTGCAGAGCATAAGAACCTGCTTTTTTTGTTTAGCCTGACTCTGGAAAGGAAAACCCTTTAACTACAAGGCCTTCACTGAGAATGTGTTTTGCTACTTCACTGAAATAGTACCGGCAAAAAAAAAAAAAGGCAAAAAACAAAGCCTATAATAATTGTTGCTGGTTTGCCAAGTGAGTTTCTACGTGCTGTTCAGCTCATTTTGGGATATACTTTCTGTGTTGAAGAGGATGAATGCATCTTCACTGAAGCACGCATCCCTCTATTTTTAAGGCTAAATAGAGTGTTTACAAGAAATTATCCTGGCTGCCTACAGAGGTCATTGCAGACAACAAACACATTATGACACAGACTGACTGTGCTGAGGGGGAAGACTCCAAAGAGACAAGGAAAAACAATTGGTTTGGAATTAACTTCAAGGCTTAAAAAGGAAAATAAGTTAATTAAAATTAGGCGATAGCTACAGTATGCCACATGCTTTTGAGATCTCACTAGGTTCTGACTTAACATCCCATTTCCAGGGAATACAGCTTAGTTCAGGAACACAGAAATCAAAAGCAACCTCTTAACTGCAGCCAAAACGTTGTTAGCAGTGTTCCATAGTTAATTATTTTGGGAGTGGCTGGAGTAGTTATGGAGGATTACTTCTCGATTTGCTCTTGGCAGAGAGATGGACTCACTAATTTCCTGGATTGTTTCTGTCTCTAATTTCTTCTAGTTTCCATCCCCATGGTGAAAATAACAGAAAATGTCTTTATTTTGTTTCTGATTTGTGTACAGGTACAACAGTTACCAGCTATTACTATTTATTTTTTTTTTTTTACCTCCAGATGAAAACTCTGAAATGCAAATTTAAAGCAATTTTAAGTGCTGCAAACTCAGCATTTAATTTTCAGAACTGGAGCAAGTGGTGTGCTCAGGTAACCTAGAAAGCCAATGGCATCCTGGCCTGCATCAGGAATAGTGTGGCCAGCGGGACTAACGAAGTGATTGTCCTGTTGTACGTGGCACTGGTGAGACTGCATCATGAATACTGTGTTCAGTTTGGGGCTCCTCACTACAAGGACACTGAGTTCCTTGAGCTTGTGCAAAGAAAAGCAGTGTGGCTGGTGAAAAAAAAAAAACCTGAAAAACTGGAAGAGAAGAGTTATGAGGAGTGGTTGAGGGGAGTGGAGTTGTTGAGTCTGGAGAAAAGGAGGTCTTTACAATCAATCTTTACAACTAGGTGGAAGGAGGTTGTAGCAAGGAGAGGCTAAGTCTCTTTTCTCAGGTGACAAGTGGTGGGACATGAGGAAATGGTTTCAAATAGTGCCAGGGGAGGTTAAGATTGGATATTAGGAGGAATTTCATCATGGAGAGGGTGGCTAGGGATTGGAAGGGGGCCCAGGCAAAGTGGTGGAATCCCCATCCTGGAGGTGTTTAAGAGACGTGTGGTCATGGCACTAAGGGACATGGTTTGCTTATGGGACTCAGTAGGTCAGGTTGAACTTGATGACCTTGAAGATCTCTTCCAATGGAAATGATTTGATGATTCATATGGTAGCAGTGACCATTTTCCAGTACTCCTCTAGGGTAAGCAATTTCTAATTTCTGCTTCTAGAGTCTGCAACTATGGATAACAAAAGAATTTCCTAGCAATTTCCACTGAAATATCATTTTTATTTTTTTATTTTTTTTCCCCAGCTAATCTAGTTTATTACCAAACTGCACAAAGACTATAACAGTAGACTATCCAAAGCTGGAACTTTAAATGGAAACCCTCCTTCCAGTTCCACATTTCATGCCATGAAAAACAGCTTCAAGGGTCCAATCCAGTTTTAATTTGCAAAATTAGGCTTAATGTGACTGTGTGTGTTTGACTATCTATAAGCATATATTTGAAGTTTGGAGAGTACTGTCAGGCTTATCTTTCTTTATGCTTAGTACTTTTAGAGTTGCAAGAACTGATTACAGAAGATCCTAGGTCGCATGGAGACTTTGGAAAAAAAAGGAGTCTTTTTATGTCTTGCTTTCCTTGCATTTATTGTTGGGCAATATAGTCTCAAGTTGGGTGGGAGGCAAAAGTCCAAGGTTGCACAAGAACATATATTTCCATTGCTGTTTTAGTAGATTAGCTTGTATGTGAAGAAAACATATGACACAGAGGAGGAGGGAAGAATTGCAGCAGTCTTCACTGATCCAAAGTTTTCAAAAACAACATACAAACTAGCAGCTGTTCCAAGTGGTAAATTACCTCTGTCAGCTCTTTAGGGAAACTGTTGGCAGATTTTTTTGTCCCACTCTTTGATATGCACCAGGTAGTCAAAGTAAAAATTCTGCCTTGGAGACCTGTGATTTTTGCAAACAGCAAAGTCAAGTGGTCAAATGAAACTGGACGTAGCTCTGTCTGGAATTTGTGCAACTTCTGAGACAGTGTTGCTAACAGGACAGTGATGCACTAAAAGTCTGTTGAGTGGTGGCCAGTGCAGGCAGGACTTTCTCAAGGGTGTGGAGAAGGAGCAGAAATCTCAGGTCGCCTGTGAATTGCAGGAAAGGAATGGTGAGGCAGAAGGCAGGAGAACACGCAGCATATTCATGGGTGTGGAGTGGTACTGCCAAGGTTGGGGACGGAGGTTGCTTCCCTGTGGTAATTCCCTAGTGCCAGTGATGGAAACAGCTCGTTTAATACCTGGGTTTGTTTTCTCCTGGTTTATCAAAATACACAGTGCTTTGGTGTTGCAACACAGTAAGGCATCACCTATACTTGTGCCTGTTTTCCACAAGAGATGAGGAGGGACTAAATCCAACTTCTCTTAACTGTGGCAGACTGCTGAGTGAAGTACATATTAATTTCATAAGAACAGCCACACCAGATGGGATTGAAGACCCATCCAGCCCAGCCTTGTCTCCTTTGATGGTAGCTAAAAACTTCTAGAAAAGAATAGATCAAGTGTGGGGCAAGAATTTCCCAGAACTGCCCCTGTACTGTCAACAATTCGTGTTCCACAGACTTCCTGAGCTAGTCTTTAGATTTTATTTTTTTTGGCCATATGTCTACACATTATCCATAGGAGACATTTGTAAGCTCCTAATATTTGCAACATCCTTGACTATGACTTAGCCACATGTTATGTGATTAACCACCTTTATTTGGTTTCCAGCTGTTTGCTGCAATCAGGCTGCAGAGCACATCTGTGTAATTCTGAGGCATTAAGACACAAGTGATTAAACATGGGCTACTTGCTTTAGTGGCCTTTCAGTATAAATGCCTTCATGTGGCATTGCTCTAAATAGAAGCATTTCCTACACCCTCAGGGCTGTTGCAATGCTCTCCCAGGAGAGCTGTGTTTGTCAGTCTAACCTAAAGGACTGGATTTGGGGCTTTTCTACCCCTCACGCGACAAACCAAGAGGCCATTCATCCCTCTGGCATGCCCCGTGGAGCCTCTATTGCAGTAAATCCATATGATAAAATTCGTGTGTACTAAACCTTGAACACTTTCATGCAAACCACTTAAGGGTAATTGTGAAAATAAACCAAATGAGAAATAAGTAAATTGCAGGATACACAAAGAGTAGGAGTATGTAATTTATTTCATAATTGTTTCTGCATTGTTGTATTTGTCATAAGCACGTAATGCCATATCAGGCTTGAACAGATGTAGTAACCAGGCAAGTGGCACTGGTCCAAGAGAATAACGGGAGCTGTTGTATTTTGCCCAGTGCCTGTTTAAGGTAGGGTGTGTGCAGTTGGCATGACAGCTACATCTGAATGTTTTGTGCAGGAATCAATCCAATCTGTAGC